CCGGTGGCCCCGCCCCGCCCGCCGCTCGTTCCCAGGGGGACAGGGCTGCAGCTGGGGCCTGGGGTAGACTCCTCCCTGGGCTTTTGCTTGTGGCCTTGGGGGCAGGAAGAAAGGGGTTGCCCTGTTGCACATCCCTGTGGTGATGCTGTTCAGCCACCAGCGGCTTTCAGCGGTGCTTCAAGCAGGTTGCTCTTGGAGCCAGCTGCATGTCCGTGCACGCTGCACTGGCAGGGACACAGCGGTGCCCAAAATAACCTGCCTGAGCAGGGCAAGATCAAGAAGTGATCCTGTAGTAAGGATGAGAGGTGCTCAGGGGTGTCCCTGGGATGGGGATGCTTGTGGCATGGGGATGCGGAGTGGTCCTTGGCTGCTCAGAGAGCAGTGGGGGGAAGCGGGGGAGATCTCTGTGGGCGCTGGGTCTGTGCACCCAGTGGCCACAGGCAATATCCCCTAAGCGCAGCAGCTGTGCTAACAGTGCCGAACAACCACTGTGCATTCACCCTCCGCAGTGTGTGCGCAGCCCGTTCTGGGTAAAAACAAAACAAACTAGGTAAAAACGAAACAAAACAAGAAAAATCAGAAAAAAAAGGAACGATCGGGAGAATAAATTGTTTTGTTTTAAAGTTATTTTGCCTTGTTCACTCTAACAGTCTCCCTTTTTGCTCATCTCTCAGCACCGTGCCCTTAGCTTTGACCCACGTGGTGTTTGAAGTTATTTTTGGTTGCTGCTTTTAAGTGTGCTTTAAGTCTTTTATTCCATCCCCAAAATATTTTACTTCAAGGCGTAATATTCCCAGTTAATATCAGTTACCATCACAGTTTTGGCAGCGCTGTTTCCACTGCTGTTCCTTGGAAACATTTCTGCATGTGGTTTGGTAGGAAGAGCTTATGACAGTCTAATGAAGTTATTTATGTCTGGGGCTCTCACTCGAGGCTGCCGGATGTATTCGGGTGGGCTGCGAGCACCTCGTGCAGGCCGAGCTCACCAGTGCCCGTGATGGAGACACCCACACTGGGCACAACCGTGTCACCCTGAACCTCGGCACCACTGCCTGCCCACAGCTCAGCAAACGGCAGCAGCTGCGGGCACAATTCCTCCAGGGCCGGGATATTCCCCTCCAAGCGCCGCGGCTGTCAGATCCGGGGTGACTCAGCGGGAGGCAGATTTCTGCCCGCAGGGGTGAAACCTGACCCTGAGCCAGCCCTTGGGCCGTGAGTGGAGACCAGCAGCGTGGACAGCTGTACAGGGCTGCTGAGGGGCAGCAGTGGTTTTTTTTTTTTTTTGTAGGCAAAAAATGATTTAGCTGTCTCTGCATCTCTGGTCGGGCAATGCTGGCAGGGATGGACAGGGTGATGCCACCTGTCATGAGTGAAGTGGCGCTGGCTGGGATGGCCAGGGATGCGGCAATGCTGTTCGGGACAGGCAGAGCGAATCTGGCTTTAATGGATAGGGTGATGCTGGCTGGGGCAGCTGGGGGATGGCGCTGAGCTAGTGATTGCTGGGAGCCCCCCATGCCTCCACATCCTCCTCGCTTCTTGCCCGGACCCACTGGTGATCTTTCCGTGGCAGGAAAGGCATTCAGGGCAGCTCCCTTTGGGCCTGTTCAACGCCGGAGCTCCCCACAGTGTGGTCACCATGTGGGGGTTGACAAGAGGGGGGATGAGGGGCGTGTTGTCTCCCAGGGGTGCTCTGGTTCATGGCCATGCACCGCACGGGACATGGGGCGGCCGCGGTGCTGGAGCTGGGCCTGGTGGTGACCGTGTGTCCTGCTGCTCAGCCAGCACTGGGCTATGACACTGGTGGGAGTCAAGGGTATCAGCAGCTTGGCCACGGCTCTGCCCTGCACAGCTCCTCCCTAGCCGCACCTATTTTGTCCTTGGTGTGTGGCACACGGTGACCTGTGTCCCGCCACCCTTGAGGATGGCTGGGCTGGTGTTGGAACCAGCGCAGGACAACTGCACAGGTCTTCCGGGAGCTGAGCCAGATTACAAGACACAGACTCAATATGAGGTTAGGTCTTGCTCCATTTATTAGCCGAAGTGCACGTATATTTATACCTACAAGCATCTGAGGGATTTCCAGGCTAGTTATGATTGGTTGCTAGGAGGGTTGCTAGGTCCCGACCGCATAGGCTCTTCTCAGTTCTGCAAAGTTGTTTACC